ATAAAAGGCAAGCCAAGACCACGACACAATCCCAATGAGACTTCAGCCTCAACAACCTCTGTTTCGGAGAAACCCATCATCAAAGCCCTATCAAGACCTTGTGCACTATGCAACAAGAATCACTGGGATGAAGAGTGCCCCCGGTTGAGTGGTAATTGCCCTTATATAGGATGATTTGAGGGTGGAGAGATAAAGCGATTGATAAAATGGAAGCTAGCAAGAAGGCTATGGGAAAGATAGTTTTTGTAAACGGAATTAGATAACAAATAAGGATTGGAACAGATGTGCATTAGATAATATGACAGATTAGCATGGGAATTTGTTAATACATTACCATCTATGAGTCATTAAGGAATTTGAATTACAATAAAACTTACAATAAATGATTAACATGATTTGCTTAAATATAAATACATTGATTTAAATTTGACCTTTTGCTAAATTCGATTGTTCGGTACAAAGATTATTTCTAGTGGAATTTCGAGCTTGTTCTCGACATGCATTATCAAACGTTGTGTATTCTACAACTGGTATTCACTCAATCCAAAGAACTAAGATATAAATTTGGATTCATTTTTGATTTATACCAAATCTCAAACTGGTCCAATTAAAAGTGTTTTTAAGGGTATATATACTTAATTGTTTATACTAGTCGAAGTAAGAGCAACTCAGTTCGTACTAGTTAGAACTAAAATAACCATATTACACAGATTCTAAATGTGTTCTCTATTGCAAGAATTATACAAAATTATTTTCACGATTTGTGTAAAACTGAGTCAAAGAAATACGGAAGGCAAATTTTATGTTTCGTTGTATGTCAAGTGAATAAAATCCAACCGAATATACGAATTTATTAGAGCAAAAATTATGATGCAATACCAAAGCACTTTAAGGTGTAGGTATATACGAACGAATTATGGGACTTACCAAAAAGATTCTACGAAGAGCATTAGGGAGGAAACTTTTAAAGAAAAAACAATTAATAACTTTGATAGTAGAAAGAAAATTAATACTTAATATCCAATAGTAACATACGTGGGCGTTAACGTATACATCAAATGATTTCATATCACATAATGTTTCATTAGATATACCAAATAATTATAACAGTAACCAGAGCTTCCTTATTAAACAATATGCATTAGATTGTTTATGGAAAATATGGAGAGATAAATACATTATTGGTCTTAGAGAGTGCCCCAAAATTAATTAACTTTCCTTGGAGTTGTAGAAAAGTCTGAGACATCTCGTAGTATGTGAAAATTAGCCAGAATAAATTAAATCAGAGATGAGGTGGAAAAATAAGAAGCATTACGATGCGAATAAATGCAAAGTGGAGAACTACTCCCCCAATAAATATGTTTTATCCCTTGGAAGCAGACAATTCAGAACGCCTAGAAAATCAATTAACAACACCGATCGCCCTAAGAACTAGAAGTACAAAGACTCGACAAACAGGAGTGTCATAAAAATCAAAGGTTTATCATCATCAGTCGGGTAGACTGGAAAAGAAAACTGAATTACAATAAATTTGTTGTGAAAGGTTTGTCTGGTTGATATTTGTATAGTTACAATACATTAGGAAGATTAATAAACCTTTATTTTTTGAAGACGTATTATTAATAAACCGAGCAATAAAAGGAGGAATTGAGGTTAGTTAACTAAGGTTACTCGACAATCATAAATTTTTTTGTTTACTAGAATTCAATTTATATCGTTTAGGATTAGGCGTGTCTAAGATAAAATTCTCATATTAAGAGTTAGAAGTGTTTACGAAGAGGAATTAATAATGGAAGCTAATTTCGATTTTACATAACATCTTATGTGTGAAGAATTGGCGGTGTTTACAAAAGGAAATTAAAATCACATATGTTAAAAAGTTGAAGTGTTTACAAAGAAGAAATTAAATTAAAAACTAATTTTGATTTTACATAAAAGCACATGAGTAATAAATCTTAAGAAGATTAATTTAATAAGAGATAATTCATGATACCGTTTACAATTTAGAAAGAAGAAATGATTTATTATATTATGAAATTGGTTAGTAGTTTTCGCGAAATTATAATTCGCGACAAAATTGTATTAATCCATAAGATGAAGATTGTTTTGAGTATGTTTGAAGAATTATAAAACTTTCAAATTTTATCTCATGCAGGCAATCATTTATCCAACACTCATTTTTCAATTGTAGCTGACCTTATCTTCATTGTCTAGTATTTTTATTGTTAATAAAGATTATGCGCATTTATAATTATCATTATGATAGACGGCTCTTTTATTTTTTAGAAAAGTGCTATTAACTTGCTATTACCTTCCGCTTGCCACTCCTCATTTCATCTGCCAGAAATTAGCAAAATTGGATAATGAACATGTATTCTCCAAGCCATAGATTATAATTATTCTATGCGATAGATGGCCTTACAGTACTATATGAACTCAATCTGTCCCAGTTTAGAGCTAGAACTATCCCTTGGTGTCAGAAAACCGAAAAATTTTATTATTATTATTACTGTATTATTATTATTATTATTATTATTATTATTATTACTAATTATTATTATTATTATTATTATATTATTTTTTGAAATTATGAATATTTTATTTAAACCTCAAATAGTACATTAGCCGCCCATTTCCTACATTATTAAAAATATTCTATAATCATTAATAAAAATTAGAATCGGTGGCAGTCTTCTTTTTCTTCTCTCAACAGTAGCATTATTCCTTTATTATTTCAATTATTCGACTGTATATTATATCGATTCACATTTATGAAAAATCATTCTGAATCGATCACCTCGCTCGCAGATACGAATAAAAGGTTCAGTTCAAGTTCTACAAACTTAAAAAAACTCATGTGAACTTAACAAATTTCATCCTCTTCTGACCAAAAAGTTTTTCAAATTTAATTCACTTTAATTACTGCTTGAAAGGTTAATGAAATAGAAAAATTTTGACAAATGGACACATTCTATCTAACCCTTCTGTTTAGACTGTTAACGTAACGATTTACTCAGAGACATTCAACCTCCACCACAGTTTCGAAACCATGGTCCTATTCTATCTGTTATCGTAATTTGACGAGAAATTAAAAGAATACTTCATTTGTCGAATTCAATTAACGATAAGTAAATTGATATTTTTAAATTAATCAATCGATTTTACAGTTTGTTGAAAAGAAATGAATAATAAATTAAAATAAAAAATCAATTAAAATCTAGCTCGAATTTACCAAATCTAGTTTTTGAAATGTCTTTTATCACAATCGCGAGTGGATACATTTCTTCATAATTGACATTGTTTATCACAAATATGTGTATTTCTATCTGAACGCAAATTTCTTGTATTTTTAATTATTTGTGAAACTCAGATATTAAAGCAAAAGTTTAATTATCCATAATAATTCGTTTTGTGAAATTTGAGCTAAATTGGTTGGTCAATGATATGCAATATAATTCGTGCACGCTTTTATTATCGATATAATTAAATTGTCTTATTGAAATCTAAGCTTATGTTGTTGTATTAACCATTTAATTGAATAAGCTGTTAATAAAGTTTTAGTTGTTAATATGTTTAAGATACTCGAACTCCAAATATAGAAAGAATATAAAAGTGTTATCTCTGTTAAAATTAGAAATGGCGATAATTTTATATTTCAGATACAAAAGTGAGAAGCAAAAACATTATTTCTTCCGTTATGAACCACTTAGGCATTCTTCAAGAAAATTTTCCCTAAGCTAATTCATTCAATAAAAAAAAAAGAAAAGAAAAGAATCGGATTAATTTTTTTATTCTAAAAATTCAGCACGTGTATGTTAAAGTAATATGAACATTATTCTACAAAACAGTTTACTTAATACAATGAATATGTATTTTTTGAAGATTTTCTTGCAAAATATATGAATAAAAGTAAATTGTTAAAGTAATTCAAGAGTTGGTAAATACACGAAAAACATCACAATAATCGATAAATTTTAAAGCATCCAACGCATAAACGGATTTCATCATTGATGGTAACACAACAAGAACTGTAAGAACATGTAAATATAGTTGGTAAATAAAAATTCATAATTGTAAATGCAAATCTTATTGCCAAAACACATTCAATTTGTTATCAAATATTGAATGTTCAATGATACTTTTAACATTATAAGATGTTATTTACCTTCTTAACTGTATAAAAATTAAAAAATTATTATCAGACAGTAGATAATATAATTTTTATGCAATAAGAGTTACATCATATGTAAAACATTACATATCAAATCACTGTTATCATATCAATTATATCGATATACCAAATCATTATATCATAGTTGTCATATCAACAACAATATATCAACCGTATCAAATATCAAATTACTGTTAACATTCGACCATAACAATATGTACAATCATATTACAAAAATATTAATTATCTATTTAAACTGACTCACTAATCAGGTAATGACATATATCAACTACATCAACACATCAAATTATTATTATCATATTCACATATCATTGCATATATCACCACGTCATATCAACTATATCAATATACCAAATCTTCACACTATAGTTGCATAGTCGTTATCTATCATCTCGATTATTTTAGCAAAAATTATGTTCCGAATCGAAATCAATTCTTCGTTCATTGAAAAATTCCAGCAGTTTCATTCACATTCTATACTTAAGTCTGCAGTACTAATAGAATCGACTTCCAATAAATCAAAATATCGACCACTAACAAAAACTTCTATTTATTTCTCAAAATCAACTGCTGGCATCGACACACGACATTAAACATATTCTCAACATCATTTTCATTATAAAGATATGATTTAAGTTGCCAAAACTTAAATTCCATTGAGGAACGTTAGAAATAATTGTGCATATTCGATTTATGCTTTATCAATTTTAATGAAATACTTTGATCAAAGCAAAATCATTAAATATGTAACTACACTAACTGATAAAACAGGAAAAAAGCATGAAGTGATAAGTTTGATTATTGTAACTCACATGCAAAAATGCGATATATATCGCTTCGGTTCAATTAAACTTGCGACAACGGTAAAAATCACTGCAATGGCGGTGATTGCATATTGTATGGTAATTAATGCAAAGATTAATCGTTTACTATGAATATAGTAATACATTGGGAATGCAACGACACAAAATCTTTCCACACTATTCATTAGTAAACTCCAACCATTTAGAAAAGACATTGATAAAAAAAAGATCGCCACCTGAAATTTCACTAACTGTTGAATTCATTTTGCTGCTAATTACTTACTCTTATTGACACAATGCAGTAATGTTATTATTGATTAAAATACAACAGATTTAATCGGATTCTTTTCTTATTTAGCTTCCAACATTTTGTTACTTACAAATTTATTACTATAACAAATAATGTTAAGAAAGGCGAATAATTTTGGAAAATTTTGCAAAAAATAAACGAACACTAAGCACGCAGTCATAATGAACAATAAATTGTTCTTGAACAACGGAAACAATCCATCGTTTTGCGCCCATTAATATTGCACTCAATCCGGTTAATCCACTGTTAAAAAATACAGTTGAGAGAATCAGGTAGGGAAGCCTGAAATGTTTAAATTTGCTCAAATGTTATTTATGCATTGATCTATAGCAAAAATTTGAAATAATAATACTAGAAATAATCTTGATGAGATGAAACATTTGACCTGAGCGCTTTACGTAACATCACAAGCAGGAAGATCGGTGTGTTAACCAATACTAGCATTGGACCAATAATCAAATAACCGTATATATGCAAATTATGGCTCAAATGTGATAGCATTGATGTATTGATATTCGTATCATTCAGTAAATCATCAAATCCTGTTCTGTTTTCAGTAATAATCATTGAAATATGTGGAAAAATAAGTAAGAAATAAAATAATTAGCAGAGTCAATGCAGCGTCGTTCAGTGTCGTATGACTTTCGGTGATGAGATGCAAAACAAATGATGCTCCGAGAATAATTAAACATTGCTAATGCTAATGAATGTAGCATATTTAACGTATAAAATAATATTCATTAAAATGTGAGCTTAGTTGCCAAAATTTAAATTCCATTGAAGCACGTTGAGAAATAATTGTGCATATTTCGAAAGGGAAAGAAAAATTTTTTAAATACAAAACTTATTAATCTAAATATGATAATCAAAATTTAACTATTAATTTGGATGGCACAATTATCCGTTACAAATTAATGCAAAACATGATGATTGTACCTGAAAATATTTATGAAAATTCCGCATATTTATTAATAAGTAATCATTTTCTAATGGCAATTTGTAACAAATTATTCCAGTATTATTCGATCAATAATTAAATATTAATACCATTTAAATTTCTCAAGTGTCGATAGCGAATTAATAACATCATCCAAAAACTTGTCTCTCATTAATCTGTCTCGTCATACTTAGTTAGTTTGATTAATTGTTTTATCTAACATAATTTACTATTTAACATTGAATATAACACATTATGTTTAACAAAGATATTAAAATTGGTGCACAAAAATTATTGAACAATTAGTATATCCTTAACAAAAAAAGTAATAAAATAGCTTGTCAGTAGTGTTAATCTCAATTGATGTTATCGAAAAACCAAATTTCATAATGACTAAATGTTCTCAAGCAAAATATTCATATTAAACGTTTCCTGCCTTTCCACTATTAATTTTGCTAGTTACATTTCAATCCTTTGTTTCTCCACTCGTAAAATTTAGCGTCTCATAAGTTCCTTACAAAGGAATGAAATCAAACCAATTGGATAGGGACTCTCGTGATCCACTCTGGTTAAATACAGATAACTATGCAGAAAGAGTTGATTTAATCAATTTCATTTCATTCTTTTTCATAATAAAGAAATTGCTCTATCGTTCTGCCTTTCAAGACAAGCAGTAGTCAGCTTCCAACTTAGTATTAGTATTACTTCTAATCGTCAATTATCGAAAAGAACGTTTCCCAGATTTGTCATAATTTCCTCTCTCTCCAACAAGTATCGGGGATCTTCCCAGTATTTTAGCTAATAAAAATAGCATTAGGTGATTTTATTATTCTATCTGATAATTTGAGGCATTTTGATTCAGATCAGAATAATCGTCTTTTCAACTCAACTTTTTGACAGGCAGTCGTATTTTGAATTCTAGTTTACACATTTTTAGCTGACTGACAAGGTCATTTTTAATTATTCACATGAATTTATAAGGTTACCAATAACTGATGAAAAGTCTTTCAAAGGCTGTGATAACATTACAATATTTCATAATAAAAGATATTGTACTATATGTTTCGAGATTTAAATCCCGAAGTGATTATCCTAAGCAAATACTAAATAGCAAATACCACACAGTGTCAAGGGTCAATTTGGTGTATAATAGCAAGAAGCGGAAATTTTTAAAAAAATTAAAAAATAAAGTGGAAAACAGATATAATAAATTCCAAAGTGAAAAATTTAATGTACGAGAAAGATTTGTTAAGCATTGGAAAATATATAATTGAGAAAATATAACATTGGAAAAAATATAAATAATATAGTGCTAGAGATGAATTTACCAGAAGTAAACTGAATAGAAGAGGAAAAGACAGAAAAGTTGTAGAGAGGAAGACGAAAAGATGTTGAAATATTCGTTTCATTAGTGTTGCATTATACTCTAAAAAGGCAAATCACAGTACAATAACACAGAAATTACCGCAACTTAATTGCTAGTCAAAATTAAAGTTTCAGTTATTCTGAAATTTCGTTGTTGCATAAAATTCATGCAAGTTTTTCTCATCTAAATTAAGATGTTTTTTTTTTTTTTAAAAAAATCCAAATTTTACAACTTCCCTTTTTTTTTCTTTGCTTGTCAATGCACTAAAGAAGCAAAATCGTAGAAATTTTCACAGTTAATGACAGTTGAAAAACAATAGCAGATTAAATAATTTCAAATTTCCATGAATAAATTTCTTGGGATATGAAAATCCTTTTGAAATAGGTAAATGGACTAGGTAAATGGTAAATGAAACTTAAAAATTTTACTTTCACTTAAAAGATGTTACGATATGTTTGTCGTACATAACAATTAACCTTTCAATTAAACAAAATTTTCAAAATTTATAACGATGCTATTCATTTCAATTATTTTTATTGCATAAAATATAAAATGATTATGCAAAGTTGTGATGTATAAGAAGTTTCAACAATATTGAAGATTTTTTTCTTATTATTTTCAAAACTTTCATTTAGTTAGTAATTATATGATAGCATTGCAATGCGGTATCAATTTCGATGCATGAAATGAAATCGAATTAATCACATTCGTTTCTTTTGCAATAATTTTCCACTACTATTGAGTTTCCTCATTATATTCAAATTAATGAGCTTCTAGCAATAATCCATCAACTAATTATAATTTTTCAGTCGATTTGATATGATACTCCTCACTATTAACAAAACTTTACTTATTGTATTCTTAGTAATAGAAATAAACGAAAATATATGATGCTTCATGAATTCTTATAATTTATCAAAACTATCTCTGTTGAAAATACAAAAATCACATGGTCTAATCATCAGTCAAAATAGAAAAAGTTTCAATTATTCTGAACAATCCTTCTTACTACAAAATTTTTGCAAGTTTTTTCTCTTTAAGTTTTTTCTCACTTTTTAAAAAAAAAATGTCAAAAAATTACCAATTTATTTTTTTATTTCTTTGCTTGCAAGGGCACTAAAAAAAGCAAAATTGTTGAAATTCTTCACAACTACTATCAAACAGTCATCAAATTAAATATTTCAAAATTCCATGAATAAATCCCGTAGGATATGAAAATGAAAACGCTTCTGAAATAATATTTCTTATCAATCGTGATCAAATCCTGCAAAGAATAATCAAATTAACCAATTATACTATTATCAACTTCAAAAGGTTTCTGTATTTGACGTAATGCTTGTTTATAGCTATGCAATTACTTTGCCATATGACATTTAGAGAAAAATAAATTTATTAGTACTTAATCAGCATTGAAATGGCTTTTGATCAAATAGCACTGACATAATTTGTTACAAATTACCACTTGGAAATAATTACATTTTAATATGGATAGGTGAGATTTTCACAAACATTTTCAAGCAAATTTGTTTTGAATTAATTTGCAACTGATAGGCTATGTCATTCACACTAATGGCTGTATTTGGAATGTCACATTTAGACTAATAATTTTTTTTTTTTGAACTTTTGCATTTGCTTTCGAAATATGCACAGTTACTTTCAATATTCTTCAATGAAATTTAAAATGTGATAACCAAACTTTTCACACTTTATTGTATGTTATTTGCACATCACAAAGATTTCATATATTAAAGGAATTTGCTATAATTTCATTTATCAGGGAAATATCTGCTAGCATTAGCACTATTTATTTATTATTTGGAATATCATTTGTTTTGCATCTCATCACCGAAAGTCATACGACACTGAACGACGCTGCATTGACTCTGCTAATTATTTTATTTCTTACATATTTCAATGAATGCTACTGTAAACAGAACAGGATTTGATGATTTACTGAATGATACGAATATCAATACATCAATGCTATCACATTTGAGCCATAATTTGCATATATACGGTTATTTGATTATTGGTCCAATGCTAGTATTGGTTAACACACCGATCTTCCTGCTTGTGATGTTACGTAAAGCGCTCAGGTCAAATGTTTCATCTCATCAAGATTATTTCTAGTATTATTATTTCAAATTTTTGCTATAGATCAATGCATAAATGACATTTGAACAAATTTAAACATTTCAGAGCTCCCTATCTTGTTCTTGCAGTTGTTTTTCTGAACAATGGATTAACCGGAATGAGTGCAGTATTAATGGGAGTACAGCGATGGATTATTTCTTCTGTTGAAGAGCAATTTATTGTTCATCATGACTGCGTCCTTGATGTTCGTCCCTTTTTTCAGAAAATAATCGAAAGTTTTCGGTTTTCTTTGGTATTTCTTGTCATTTCAAATGCTAAAACAAAATACTAGAAAGTAAAAAAAGAAAAGCTTAAACAAATCTCTTATTGTATTTAAGGATTCTAATTAGAAATTAATTTTAAACAAATACTACCACTGTATTACAATTTCAACAAACAATGTAATTTCAGGTGCCAATCTTTCTTCTAACAATGTTTTTTGTTGATGGTTGGAGTTTACTAATGAATAGTGTGGAAAGATTTTGTGTCGTTGCATTCCCAATGTATTACTATACTCATAGTAAACGAATAATCTTTGCATTAATTACCATACAATATGCAATCACTGCCATTGCAGTGATTTTTACCGCTGTCGCAAGTTTAATTGAACCGAAGCGATATATATCGCATTTTTGCTTGTGAGTTATAATAATTAATTTTATTATTTTACGCAAATGATTTTGTTTTTAACTTTTTTTTAGTTTATCGTATCTTTGTGTTTCTTCAAATAATTAAAATGAATGTTTCAGGTTACAAAACGTTTACAGCTCTCATTTTTACGTCACATTGACATTAATGAGTTCCACTGCTTCATTATTTAGTATTATTGTAATGGTTATTGTTGTTGTTCTATTAAAAAGGTATGAATTTTTTTTTTAAAAAAAGTTATAACTTGGAATATGCAGAGTATATCCTAATATCCTTCCATAACCAGTAGTTATATCACGATACACTCCTGTTTTGCTTTTTAAGTTATATTTGTCTTCAATGGGTTTTACAATTCAGTAAAATTTAATTTAAAAAGAACTTGGTGAAGTATATTGGATGGAAATTTTAGCATGTTAGCAAAATTAAATTTAAACAATTTTATATATTATCATTTTTAGGAAGTTTGGACCTCAGTTTATTTCAAAGCATTCATATAACCGTAATTTATCACATTTTCTCAAGAATCAAAAGCGGTATACTCATACAGCACTGATTTCTTGTTGTTTTACATTTTGTATGTTTCTTTCATTATTAATAAATAATGCATTAGTTACCCAATTATGAGGATTTATCATAGTTTTAGTGTTAAAGTTCGTCTAAAATTTTAAAATTTTGAACCGGAAAATCAGTAGTGAATAAATTGCACCAAATTACATTAGTTTCTTTAATATGAAAGCATTGAAAGGATCAAATAAATGTAGAAATGAACAGTCATATTGAAGGGAATTCAAGTTGAAGGAAACTTAATCCTTTTTTTTTATAGTACAATTTATTATAGTTATTGCTTTGTTAAATGTTTACTCTCTAATTTATCTTTTTGCAGTCCTTGTTGTGGTACCATCAATAGTGCAATGTGCTTATATGATGAATCCAAGTATACAATCACAAATCATTGTGATGTTTTGCGTATATTTACCATTTATAAACTCTTTCAATATGGTAGTGTTATTTATGTATCGGCAAAAGGATCTTCGAAATGCCACAATTCATATCTTCAAATGGCTATTTGGTAGAAAGAAACAACATATCCAACCGGCTACCACTGCTGGATTTTTAGAATAAACAAATTGAACTGTTTTTCTTGTTGGATGAATTAGTCTTATGGGATTTTTTTTTTTTTTTTTCAAGTATGTCAAAGTGTTTGATTAAAAAAACATACATCTGCTTGCATTGCATTTTATTTCAAATAAAATTTTACATTGAGTTTGAAAAACTTTTTTCTCAATAGCATCGATATGTCTTAATGTTTCTTTTTATTAATTTGTTTTAAACTGACAAGTTACATTTTCAGTAATTAATTAATTTTGTCGAATTTTCTATTGGATGCTAACAGATAACATTCCCATTAGATAAAAACTTTCTATTAGTAATAATAAATTATTAATTAAGGTTATGTAATGAATAGCAGAAATGTTTTGAAAATTAAAATGTAGTTATTTTTTCTCAAAACTATTAATCAATTATAAGGAAATTGCATCATAGGGATTCGTATATTTTATCATAATTGGATGAAATATTATATTGGAAATTTCTTTATAAGTATGATCTATTGATTAATATCATAAAGCGGTAATTCTTTTGAAAAAAAAAGATTAATCTTGAGAATTTATCTAGAAGTGCAGAAGTACGAATAGTGAGCTACTTTTGTTGCAATAAACATTTTTCTTTCTTTCTGTTTTTTTGTCAATGAATTTTAGTTTACCTTTTGTTTTCTTTTTATTTCACACTAAGCAGTGATTTTGGATAAGAAATAAATTCAGATGATTTATTAAAAAAACAAAAAAAAAAACAAAAGAAAAGGAAGATGCAATCATCATAGTGTGCTGAAAAATAAATATTTGTGAATTTCATATAATTCCAAATTATTGCTTAATACTGTAATATAAATATATTAATATCATTTTAACAACCATTTCTTATGTTTTATTTGTTTTTTCAATCATTCATTTTTTTGCTGTTAATTTCCCCATTTTGCTTTTGTTAAAGGAAAATTAAAGAAAGAGAAAAATCTAAATAATTTGTTTGTTTCAGTTGAAAAATGAAAATTAATTTGAAAGATAACGAAAGTAATTCGTTAAAATTACTTTTAGCAATATATTTGATCCAGAAACTTCAGACAAATGCATGCTGTAGTGATAACTGAGGAAGTTTGTGTAGGAGAAAGAATTCTTGAAAATGAAAAGCATAGTAATTCATTATTGGAAATTAATAATGATTAAATGGGAGCAATTTAAAATTAATCCTAACTAATCAATTCATTAACTCTAATTAAGGATTTAGAGAAATAAAAAACGAAATAGTTAATGCTTCAGTGAATTGCAGCATGAAATTTAGGATCAATATTTACATTCACGTTTCTTTAATTGTATCAACAAAGTGACAAAAATGTTTTCCAACAGTTTTTCCAATTCCAATAAATGGATTTCTATGTTGAGCTATCATATTTGTCAATAATTTCTGGAGCAAATGTATCTTTTTATAGGAACGACTTATCTTCGCTACTTAATTTAATTTTAAATTCAAATGAATAGTTTGCATTTATTCTTTGTCTAATATCATCTTTATTAATTTGGAATGAATACAAAATACAAAGAAAAAGAAAGGTACTAATAATATGAATAAATTTGTAAAAAAAAAAAAGAAAACAAATTACAGAAATGAAAAAAAAATGTAGTTATTACTTTTATATTATCGTGTAACTATATTGATTACATAGAGCAATCACGATCAATGGATCAGAATTGCTGTCGAATGTAGTAATAATGGGTTGATTTTTGTTATTTTGGGTGAATTAGAGAATGAAGGAGAAAGGGAGGAAGTAGGTAAATGAAAGTTAAAATGAAATTCAGATTGTTTTATAGTCCCAGAAGAAGGATAAGAAGCTCAGATTATTTCTTAATAGATATTGCTAACATTTTGATAATAAAATTAGTGGTGGGATGAGTAGTTCCGAAGGATCATGGATACCTTCATTTTGTGATAGGCCCGGAAATGAATTCTTCTGTGAGGTGTGTTTATTATTTGTCCTATTTCCTATTTTTCTGTTTTTCTTCTAATACACGATTATTTTTTTAGCATTAAATAAATCATTTCCATATTTAGTCCACTTATTTTATTACTTTGCATTAAAAAAAAAAAACTATTACATCTATAAAGTTTTTAATAGCTAATGTTATCAGTTGTTTTTCTAACTTTTACTTTTGTCAATTAAAGTTAAATCTCTAATAAGTAATATTTAGTAGAATTACATTTTATTGTGATATTGTTATGATTTATTTGAAGTTATTGGATAATAAATCAGAGTACTATGAAGTGTTTTACAAATAAATGAGAAAATATGAATTTCTTTGATATCACATATGGAAATTATGTGAAAAAAATATAAAAATTTCTTTGGTATTATAAAGAAATAATTTCTTAGCTAATGTAAGTATTTCACTTCATATCCTTCCTTTTTATCGAATTAATTATAATTTAGGTTGACGAAAGCTTTATCATTGATCGATCTAATTTAATCGGTTTGAAAGACCAAGTACCACATTATGAATATGCTTTGGAATTAATTCTAGGTTTAGATCCAGGTAAGTCAACATTTTTTTTTTTTTAATATTTGGCTGCATTAAATTTACATGTAACATAGAAATACAAAAGATAATTTCTGACGATAGAATTTAAAAAGTTGATAAGCTATTTGTTTCAACTTTAATCTTATAGTTAATAACAAATCAATAAGTTAAATTAAAGCTTTATGCATATTTTTTCTACAGATATTTTTTAAAAAATTTTTAAGACTTTGCGAAAATATGAAAATTATAGATGAGGATGAAGCTAGAGCACGCTTATCTCAAAGTATGATCGGAGAACAGGTAACTCAAACACTTTATGGACTCATTCATGCACGCTATATTTTGACAGGTGGCGGTATCGATCAAATGATGATTAAATGGAGAAATGGTGATTTTGGATTTTGTCCTCGTTTTTATTGTGAAAAACAAAATTTACTACCAGTTGGTAAGAAATATCGTTTTCAGTTTTTCATTTTTTTCTTCTTTTGATGATCGTAACATTACTGTTTCTATTAACTTATAAAAGATATATTAAAAATGAGAATGAAAAAATTTTTTTGAAATTTTATAAGCAATATTAATTGAAATAATATTGTATTATATAATATGAGATGGACAAAAATTTTGTAATTTTATAATGAGAAAATAGCATTTTTTTTCTCAGTTTTATTACATTTATTATGTTAATACTAGAAATTTAATAAAAGATTATATGTTTACATGAATTATAGAAATAGCAAAATAACAAATATATTCAACTTTTTCTTGTCTTTTCTTGAAAAAATATAATTAATTATGGAAAAAATATAACTAATTATATAATAATATTTATTATATAATTATAATTTATTAATTAGGAATATCAGATATTCCGAAAGTATCAACGGTGAAATTGTTTTGTCCAAGTTGTGTGGATATTTATACGCCTATTAATGAATATCATCAAGAGATTGATGGTGCATTTTTTGGTACAGGTTTTCCTCATATGTTCTTCTTTGAGCATCCAGAATTAAAACCAAGACGTTCAGTTATCAATTTTGTTCCACGGTATGTTACATTCATTAAAAGTAATTTTATAAAATATGAATATTTCAATATACATACATTATCATTTTACCAAAACTAAATATTGAAAGCTTTTAGGCAATTATTGATGAATGTCAATATTACCATATTCATCAATTATGAATTTCTCTTGTTATAAAATTATAAAAAAGTAAACCTAAAATGATCTTTTTAATGAAGTCTTTTCTTTTGCAAGAATTGATACAGTTTCTAAAACATCAATGTGATCTACTTGATCATACTAATAAATTAAATAAGTCAGAACAATGGGTTACACTCTTCTAGCACCCAGTGTTTACAATACATTTAACAATATTATTAGCTAAATGATTACACCAATCAAACGTTACACTGTACAAGATAACCTCATAAAATGTGCTAAATTTGAAATCTTTTTTTCTTAATTTTACATTTACTTCCTAATGCTTTTCTTCCTCTTCTTCTAATCTCTCATATATTACATATTAGCTTAAGCATTTCACTTTTAATTGATGACCATTCCTGTTTGGTTTTGAGGCTATGAGGCTATTCCTTTTCAGATTATTTGGCTTCAAAATACATCCCACAGTATATGGCTCACAACAAACCTGAACTATTAAAATTATTATTTTCCACTAAAAATTTAATCATCTCTTAGCAATTTGTCATTATGTGTACTACATCTAGATTGAAGACATTAAACATGATATAATGAATTTTTAACGTTATTTTTTGTTCTTTTGAAAATTTTTGATCTTTGTTATCCCCCTTGTACGAAATGTTCATTTTTTGCTGCCTTCTAAGTGTATTAAGCACAAATATCTCGTATTTGTTGTTTCCAAAGTTTTTCTTTTTTCAAATTCATTGCAATTTCTTAGACTGCATTCAGATATCAATAAAATCATTCGTTGCTTTTTAATATCGCTATCGAAATATAGTTATACATCGCTTTTGTTTTTCAGAAAATTCCAAACACAAGCATTGAAATTAGTTAATGAATGATACAGTACAATTTGACAATTACAATAGTTATTGCTGCAAATGAGTCAGAAACAGGAAGCCTGCTGTATTTCTAGACAATGCTTTTTTTTTCCCAAGAAATCTATGTGAAGAAAATTGTCAAAACCAAAACAATGTATTACAGCAACTGAAGCTATTGGCCAATTAAAAAAACAGTGCCCATATCTAATGACTTATTTTCCCTTATTCTATTTCTTGTGCTAAAAAATATGGGAATTGAAGAAAGTAATGTTTCACATCAGTAAAAATAACAAAACATAATAAAAGTTGATACAGTCAAGAATGGTGGATTGAACTGTTGTCGTCACTTCTAATGACCATATCTTAACGAAGGTAGCTGAAATTATTCGCTGACGATGGTGCAGCACCAAAGAAATTCGGTTGTGATTGTCGATTCATAGCTCGAGATGGTGCAAATCCAAGCATCTTTTG